GAAACCAGGGTAAAATGTAAACTATAAATTGATTGTGCACTGATGGTTCAGAGGTATAAATTACTGCTTTTCTATTACTTCAGCACATTGGTGTGGGCATACCAAAAGTTAATTTGAGAAAAAGGAGACCCCATGTCCAGGTAATTGTGGATGGAGGTGACCAATAGTGCATTAAAATGCATAGAGATGGAGATAAGATTAGAAAGCTTCTGCTCTGCTTACTAGGAAAACCTAACTAGGGAACTGTTGACGAACAGCTTCCAAAGCATGAAGCTTGCATCTTTCTTTGTTAAATAATAGCAAAATTGTTATTCATGGTAATGAAGGGCATTATTTTAAATTGTGATGCATTACTAATAGCTGCTAATTAGAGCTGTGCTTTAAAGACTATTCTTCTTCAGGCTGAGAGATGAATTGTAGCCTGTAAAGAGGCTGAAATGAGGAAAAAGATTTCATAAACCTGAAATCAGGAGAAAGATTCTGCATCTTTGTAAATTGTTTGCCAGGTTTTATTGCACAGTGTATTCTGTACAATAGGGGTGTGTGAAGCGGACACTATCCCATTCATATTCGGGCCGAATTGGGGACAGTGATTTGATTAATTGATTCGGATCATTGTCCCTGATTCGATTCAACCGAATCAGAATCGGAAGATTCAATGCTGATTTGGAGAATCAGTGATTCGGACACAGACACAACTTTAAATGTTTTTTCTACATACCTCGAGGTACCAGCACGGCTTGTGAACGCAGCAATGCTGGGGCGCATGGGGGGCCCCCCCACATGCTTGGCAGCGAACCCGGAAGTGGACTGGAAATACTTATGGTCCACTTCAAGGTCTGCCGGGGAGTGCACAGAGGGGCCCCCAGACACCCCTCCCAGCTTGGCAATTAGTTGTAGGGGGACCCCAGGTGCCCCCCAGACCCAGGAAGCACCAGTTGCCAAACCACCGGATTGCAAGGGGGGGCCCCCCAGCACGCTCCCTGATGGACCCAGAAGTGGACTGGAAGTGCTTTTGGTCCACCTCCGGGTCTGCTGCCAAGTGCGCTAGGGAGACCCCTGTGCCCCTGTGGGACGCTCCATCCACCCCAGCATCACAGTATTCGCAAGCTGCCTGTTACCTTGAGGTATGTAGAAAAAACATTTAAAGCTGTGTCTGTGTCCAAATTGCCAAATCTTTCCGAATGTCTCTGAATTGGTTTGGAGGTTTCAAATTCAATTCAAAGAGATTAAAGGGTCCTCTGATTCAATTTGGATTTGGAGATTTGGCCACCAAATTGGACCAAATCTCCACCAAATCGAATCAAGAACCAAAGCTTTGCACAGCCCTACTGTACAATAATACACAAGCAGAATTTCAATGACTTACAAAGTTCCTGTGTCAAAGTAAGATACTGGGGCATATGTCTTATCTGCAGGGATCCTGGTATTCTCTGTTTAAAAATCTCAACTTCTCTGATAAAAATTGAAAATTCTCTGATTAAAACTGCCAAAATCCACATTTTTCCATAATTGAAATGAAATGGCACTATATATCGGTATCAGCTGAACACAATATTTTATTGATATATTTACAATTTTAAAGCAATTTGGAAGCCTACTAGTGCCTCAATCACTTCAAGAAAATAATTCTAAATACTTATAAATTTTGGTGTTTGATTTTTGATTTTTTTATCATGGAAAATCAGAGCTCCTCCTTCCCCCTTCACTCACCAGGGTGCAAGTCCAGCTGCAGGTGTACCCCCCACTGCTTTGTGGCACTGAGCAGCCATGATATGTCAGTACCCTGCCTGTGCCATTGCCCCTCACTCCCACCCCAAAGCCCCTCAGCCTTGCTGCTGACTCCCCATCCACAGTCCCCTGGGCCCTCCTGGTGCCCCTCATTCCCCAACCACAGCACCCCAGCCTTGCCAGTGCCTGTCACTCCCCACCCACAGTCCCCTGCCACCTCAGCCCTGCTGGAGGGGGGCCCTAGCTGCCAGGGCTATGGGGCCAGGGACCTGGTCTGCAGACCTTTGCCCCCAGCAGTAATGCCTGAGTCCCAGCTGCCACCTGTGGAAGGCAACGGCTTCTGCAGCAGAGTGAAGCACAGAGCCCGACTCCCCCTCCCCTACAGGCAACATGTCAGGACCGGGACTCTTTGCGGGGTAGGGATGGGCTGCCTGCTGCAGTCTCAGGTCTCCCTGCCCTTCTACTCTCCCCCTGAGGCCTTCATGGCCCAGCAGCTGGGATTTGGCATGGCAGGACAGAGAGGGGCTGGGCGGGGAAGCTCATTGCCACTGTGAGCCCCATACCACCCTGGCAAGGCACCCCCTGCCTGCCCGGCAGTATCATGGGGCACAACTCCACTCTGCCACCCCTGTTGCTGCTGGGCAGGCAGGGGGCACATCACTAAGGTGGTGTGGAGCTTGTGGCAGCAACAAGCTTCCCCGCCCTCCTCTTCCCTGCTGTGTTGGGTCCTGTGAACTGGGCTGTGGAGGCCCCAGGTCGGGGACGGGGGAAGCAGGTAGGGAGCCCCAAGCCTACAGCAGGCAGCCTGCTCCTATGCACAAATCTGGGGGTATGTGCCCCCCATGCCGCCCCTTTAGAGTACATGTAGGAGCAGGGAGCCAGCCTCCAACTGACCCCTAGATGAGCCCCCGACAGCTCTGTCCCGCTCCCCACCTGGATCCTGAGGCCGTGCATTCTGGCCCCGGGTCCCATGCACCCACCCAGCTGGGGAGCAACCCCAGCCCTGCCCAACTCCCTCCCTCCCTCCTTCCCTGTCTGTGGGGGCCTCAATCCTCTCACACACCTCCCCCTCCCCCACCCCCCGCCAGACTTACCTCCGGGAGCTGCTCTCCAGGCTGTCTGGCGGCCATGTGCATGTCTGAGTGCACACATGCGCATGACACCACCTGCTAATCGCCCTTCTTTTGCTCTCCCCAGCCCCTTGTAGGTTGGGACTCTGACAGCCTGCGAAGGAAAACCCACCATTTCCTGCATTTTTCTCCATTAAAGGAGAAAATATGGGTTTTTCTCCTTAAAATGAGAAAATCCAGTTTTTACCATGTTTTTCTGTGTCAAACAGAAATCCTGGATCCCTGCTTGTATGTCACTCGGACCAGCTGCCATCATATCAAACAGGGAAAGGAAAGTTAGTGACACTTACGGAGTTCTTTTTGAATTATGTTAAAAACCTTGAGAACAAAACACTTATTGAAAATATTGAAACAATAAAAAGAATGTTCTAACTACATAGGTACCAACATAAAGAAGGAAATACAGTATAAATGTCAATATCCTACATGTGTGGGAATCTATCTCAGGGTGTTAGAATGCAAAACCAGCAGTTTATGCAAAGAAAGAATTAGTTTAATCAACTGCATGGCGTAAAATTTGATCCTATTCAAGGAAGTGACAAAATTCCCCTTGGCTTTAGAAGGGCCAGGATTGTTCCAAACTCATCCTGATCATGGGCTAGCTTCACATATATAAAAAGAATCTAACATCACATGTTCACCACATGTAGGAAACAACGTAAAAATTAGATGCTAACCATTTGAAGTTAGGAAGAAAGACGCTTGACATGTAGTCTAAGAGTCTGTGAGAATGTAGACATGCTTCAAAAGCCTTTTCAAATAATACATTTATCATGGCATTTAAATGAATTTATTTTTATTTAGCTGTACCAGTTCATTCTTTCTTTCCTATCTTATCAGCTAAAATAACACGTTGTTGCTCTTTCTTGCCATGCTTGTCTGCATGCTTTAGTCCTAGTGATGTACTTTTGTTTCATTTTATTAAGTTGTGCCAGTAATTTTAGTGTTTCTGTAGCTTATATAGTTATGTTGTGTGTTTTGATTGATTAGGTAAATAGAAGAGCAAACAGAACGCAGAGCTTGTCTCTTCATTGAAAAAAAATAGAAAATGGTAACCTGGGCAAAGAAGGTTATGGAGTCCAAACCCTGAGAAATAAACCATCTTCAGGAAAGAATATAAGTGGCTCTGAGGGGAGAGGGGGTTATGCTTAAGATACTGAAATAGGCATTCAAATTTCTATTCCTACCTTAACCATAGAGTTCCAGTAGGATCTTGAGGAATCATTTGATCTATCTGTCTGTATTTTTCCTCATCTGCACCACGAGGGCATTATTGTGAAACATAAGTATGTTGGGATGCCCAAAATAAAAATTGATAAAATATTTTGAGATCTTAAGTAAACACAAGATGAATTGAATGCATGTTTCATAAATATGCCAGATTTTTTTAAAATCTGTTATCCAAGCTTTGGGACTCCTTAATTCTGAGTAGCCCAGGTTCTCATTTGAGATGTTTTACAGTGACTTGATGTGATGGCTCTTCTTTTACCATTATCTTTTCTTTTCTTGTTGTTTCCTTTGTGTGTTGGAATGGGATGTGAACTTCACAATGCCAATTCTGCCATGGCAATACCTCCATGCATGCTGTTTGGGTTTGACCGTGCTATTCATTATCCATTGCGTGTAAGAAAATGTTTTTTTTTTTAATTTACTTCCTTGAATTTTAGTCTTTTGCTATTTAAGAGTGTGAATTTGGTGGAAAAGTTAATGAGTAGCAAAAGACAGAATTGTGGTATGTATTTTCATTGCATTAAAAATTATGTAATGTGTTGTATATGAATAAACCATATAATAATACCTTCCCAGTTACAATATACTAGGAATAGCTAGTATTACCCACCAGTCCCCTGTTCAAAATTTATTCAGTAAGTTTCTCTTAAAGCCTACATTTTTTCTACTTTCTCTTTGTAAAGAATTGCTGAGAGAATGATGAACACTTATTATCCAGTAATTTGTATTTTGGTTTTGCAGAATTCAAGGGACCAAACATCCATCTTTTTCACACCAATGTAAATCTCATTGAACCACAAAAATCAGGAGCAAATCTAATTGAATTGGCCCCTAATACTCCAAATCATTTACATGAAGATATTTCCCAGCCAAACACACAAGACATGATTCTCCCAGCATACAGTGGGAGTAAGTGCATAGAAATCTATAGAGTCAAACTGGCATAAATGACAGAAGTATCATGTCTGCACTACTTAATACATTTGTCACAAGTAATGACCATTTACATTTGGCAGAAAGCCTGATTTGCATTCAGTTACTATAACTTAGCCACTGCCAAAATGCAAGGGTTACATTTTTTATGACCTTTCTTTAGATAAACAAAGGATGCAGCCACCATACTAAAAATAAACGAAAACCGTTTATTCCCTGACATAGTAAATTGAGGTTTAGTGAGTACAAGTGATAGCAATATTGGCTTACATCATGAGGAATGCTTATGTAGTGCTCAGTTAAGACTGGCTCCTGAGTTCCTTTCCATATGTAATGTTTTATTTACACAAACACGCACATGCACGCACACATGCACAAAACTTATGAAGCAAAACAAAACAATTAAAAAAAACCAAAACCAAAATATATTGGTACTCAGTTCCCTTCCTATTTTAAGCTGCTTAGTGCAGGATTTCAAATCATAATTCTTTTAAGAAAAGCCTAAATTACCTCTAGGCAGACAAGGTTCTTCGGTTGAATCTAGTATCTTTTATTAGACCAACTTAAATAGTTGGGAAAAAAAAATTTAGTAAGCTTTGGGTTTAAAAACCCTTCATCAGGCTGAGGAAGCCTCTGCAGTTGGTGTATGCTCTTCCTGGATGGAATGAATAGTATTTTATAAGAAATGTTGTCTTTTATTGTAAGCTATCTTAAGTCTTCTTTGGGGTGGCATATACACTAAATAAATAAATAAATGGTCTCTTTGGTTTAATAACATGGAGAAAATAGGACTTAATTTACTGATTTCTCATTGATGTTGCAAGGAGAACCACATTAAAGATTGAGGTATTCATACTTTAATATGTAAGTACTTAAAGCCATTTAAATACATAAAATAAAGCAATCCCATTGCTTTTGGTAAGACTTGTGTAGGACTGGAGCATGAATTAAGAAAACAGAGATGCAAAAGGTAACTGATCTTTTCCATTTCATCTTTGAGCATGTAATTGTTCCTATATGGTTTCAGTACTAATTCTATCATCATATGACATTTATTTTCAACATCACTGATCCTTTACGGCTGCATAGATCTTAGCTGAACAAGTGCCCCTGCCACTATAATAATGATTATTATTATTTAATTATAGGGTACATTAATTATAGTCTACAGGTTCCTAACAAATGATAAAATGCTTGACACAAAAGTATAATTAAATATATATGAATAAAATCAATCCTATCCAGTGATCCACACACAGCCATACAATAGACCAACAACCTGGGAACAATGCAGGGCACAGGGGAAGTAAAGAGTATCTTGAACTGTACTTAAAGTCCCTTGTATGAGCTATAAAATACATATATGAAGCACACTGAGAGCAGGGTAATGGATTCTTTCAGAACACATCTTGCACATTTGACTATCTTTAGCTATTCTGTTACATCAGCTGTGGATAAGAAAAGTCCTGTTGAAAATTTACAATGTGCAGTTGATGTAGAAAACTGACCATTAATTCTAAAGGACACTTATACCCTGCTACTTATGAAAGGCAATTCCTGGAGGATTCAAAAGATTTTAGATATGGACTGGTAGAGAATCTTGATTTAGCAATATATTTAAGCACACTGAACTAACTGAGATTAGTTCCATGATTAAAACTGGTATGGCATAAGGACCTTAAGTTTGAGCTTCATATAGTGCAAATGGTATCGGACTTTTCACTAAAGAATCCACTAAGTGGCCCTGGAACATGTTTCCATCAGAGGTTACATTTATCTGATCTCTCCCTTTGTATCGAAACCCCAATCCCTTCAGTGCCCATAGTAGTAAGTCTGGAGTCTGCTTTCACTTTGTTACAGATGCAGCTCTTGCATATTATTAGTCATCTGGGAAACTTTCTAACTATCTTCCTCCCCTCCTTTCTTGGTGACAAGAACCATAATGAGAGACTCCTTTTCTAGCATTTCATCTACAGTTTTTACTATCATGCTTACAATTTGTGGCATAGCAATAGAGGAAGCATCATCTAGCCATCAGCCTTGTGTGCGACAGATTGTTAACCCAGTTATCACTTGCCCAATTATTTCTTGATTTTTTTAAGTTAATTTTCAGTTACAAAGTACCACTAGTAATTCATTCTGCTCTAAGTTATTAAAGATAGAAGGGTAAGTAATCCTTTTTTAAACAGGTTAATGTGGTCTGAGTAAATATTTGAATAGTTTCCAGCAACCTATTCATAACATTACAATGAAAAAATGTTTATTATTTGATTGTTTAATGTCTTCTGCTTCAGAATCCTAAATCCCAGGAGCCTGTGACACTGGATTTTCTTGATGCTGAGCTGGAAAATGATATTAAAGTTGAGGTGAGGTACACTAGCAGCCTGTCATGAGATACAGATTCTTTGCTGGTCTCTGTAATAGCTGAGATGCATTTGATTCCTACCATTTGCTAAAGCTGTAGTTCTTTAAAAAGCAGACTTCATGATAGTTTTCAATTGTTTAGAAAAATGTGACATTTTTGTATGAGAGGCGTATTTTAATGACATTTCTGAATATGCTTTTGAGAATCTGCTTTTTCTTTGGAACACAGGTGGCTAAGTTTAATAACCCTGTTGCTTTGAAGGATGCTACAATTTTCAATTTAGTGTTAAGATTCTCCATGAATCTTTCTATAGAATTTCCAATACCAACATTGAATTCTTTAAACAATACACTGTAAAAATACTGTAAGAACAAGATTTTTTACATCTTTAATCAGTGAAAAAATACATGTTCTAGGCTGTCTCATGGGCAAACACATTCTGTATATTGCAATGATTGATACCTATGTCTAATGTACCCAGTCATGCGCAGCCTTTCCTTATACCAGCAGTGCTTACCTTCATGGGCTCATTAGTGTCAAAATAACCGCTTATGTTAGTATGAATTACACGAGTTGGTTCCATTTGTTTTCAAGTAAGATATAGACTCGTAACAAATAGGTTTGTCTGGGCAATTTTTCTCCTAATATGCTATAATGATAGCATTGCTAGTAAAAATGGATTGTGGAAAACATTCTTCATATTGTATATAATTTTTAGCTTTTATTTTACCATCTTATTTTCCTTGTTTCTAGATTCGGAAAAAAATGATAGATGGCGAAAGTGGGGAACGGGTGTTTACGACACTGGTCAAGTCTCAAGATGAGGTGAGATCAGAATACAGAATCTATTTTGCCTTTACAACAAAAGACTGCAAAACAATGGTGTGAAAATAATTTTATGCTGTCTTTCTATATTTAAAACCCAATATTCCACGTTTCTAATATTGTAGGAGAGCTGCAGGATTTGTCAGGTGCAAATATTTTCCTTCTATTCCCTATCCCCCAGTGCAGTTGTCAGCTTTCCTTATTTGCACAACAGGAAAGCAGGCATTTCTTAAGAACCAGAGTTCTTTTTTCCTCTGTTTCTTTCATGTTTTATATTCATAAAATTGTCGGTAAGGTGTTCCTGTGCATGTCAGGGACTTAGCAAAGGGCTGTCGTACTTCCTCACAGAAAAACAACAGCAGAAGTCTAGGAATGTGGGGCTTTGTACAATTATATTTTGGGTGGATGTGAAGAAAATAAGATGGAAAAATGTCTTGGATTTACAGTTCATAATTAGGATTCTTTACGATAAACAAATCATCCCGTTACAACCACAAACTAGGTGGAAATTTTCAAAACAGTATGCTTTGGTGTCCTAATGTTGTTTTCCAAACAAGTTAGATCCTCAGTACTGATAATGGTAGCTATTGTATTGCTCCAAGAATTCAAAGCTGTCCTGAAGCTGGCGGTTTGCCAGCAGTCGAGAGAATCCGTAGATAATATAGATCTGCAAAATGTACGGCCCAAACCTGTTAAATTTAATGAGGGCTTGCAGGTCCTATGGCTAACCTCCCCCTCTGGAGACTTGGCCAGAGTGTGCTATGTCTATGAGTCCTAGCCGTTATTAAGCCCAGTAGGTCCATAATAGGCAGATGTAAAGAGAGGTGGTTAGATGTGTTAGTCTGCAGTCAGGCAGAAGGTTGTGGGGGCAGTGCTTTAATTGGAGCAGTTTTGAAAGCTGTTTTAATTCAAGCTCCTGGAGTGTCATGTGTATCGGCGTCCCCATGCTGAAAAATGGTGGCGGGGGCACTTAACTAAAGCTCATCGAACGAGCTTTAGTTAAAGCTCCCCCGCCACCATTTTTCAAGACCAGGACACTGATATACGTAATGACGGGGTCTGCTGGAATGCAGTAATTACCAGCAGACTCGATTAATCAAGTCTGCTCTGACGAGTTGTAATTACAGCACATCAGAGCAGCCTCAGTGTATGTGTAATAGGAGCCCTTAGAGACTAGCTTGTTCAGAAATGCAAATCTTTCATAGGCAACGTCTTACTTCTTCAGATGCTATGGCTCCTATAACTCTGAGCAGTCTGAAGAGAACTGATTTGACTTCTAGTACTTCCAGCGATGGAGAAGTGCAAATTTTACATATAAACAACCTGAATTAAGATAACAAAAAATAAAAAGTACAGAAACCAGGGTTTTTTATTTATAAATACATGCAAACCATAAAATAATAAGCAGAACCAACAGGATGTACATATCACTGAGAGGCAATTACCTGCTTCTCTGTCTTTCCTTGTACCACGTGTTTTATTGTCACCTCCTGTTATGTCTGTACTTAAATAGGAATCTGATCCACTCGGACACTTTGGCTGTTTCCAGATGTGGAAAAAAAAAACCCAAACCCCAGTGCTTTACTTTAAGCTTGGCATGCCCCTGCACCAAGCATAACGCATGCCCAGAAGAGGCATCGTGTTAGTTTGACTCGGCTTGCTCAACGTCTGTATAAATTGTGCACTTCAGTGGGGCTTTTTCACTTTATCTAATAACTTAGCAGTTCCCAATCTATCAGCAGTAGTTAGCCTGTCAGTGTTAACAGATTTATTATAATCAGTTATATGACAAAAATTTGCTGGTGGTACTTAAGGTTGAACTGAAAATATTGCTGGTGGTACTTAAGGTGTATCATTTTTAAATGGTGGTGTGTGATCTGTCATAGTTTGGGAAACATTGTAATAGCTGATTAAATCGGCTTAAGATAAAAGCACTTAAAAGCCCCCTGAAGCACCTATCTATACAGATGCTGGGGAGCCAGGTCAAACTAACATGCTTCCTTTTCTGGTAAAGTGCCATAATGGTGGTGGTGATAACCACGGAGGTCCTAGCACCATCTTTTTTTTTTTTAAACAAAAGAATCTATAATAATTCAATATGAGCAGGTGTGAGGCTTTCTTATGAGGCTGACAGTTTCAGAAAATCCTGAGAAGCAAGAGAATAGGATGCAAAGAGAATAATGCACATGACAGATCTGTTTTTCCTGCCATGTTTTTTTGGAAGCTTGAAGACCCTTGAGTTTAAATCAGTCATTTTGTAGGAGTAGCACATAGTCCACCTTTCACATTAACATTTGGATCAAAAGGATGATATTTGCATAGGAATACATTATTCCTGAAGTGTTTCTACAGTTTTTTTTTATTTAGCACTACACATTTGTTTCTTATATTTCCAATTTAATTCAATTTATTGTGTAAACATATTTTATGGTAGCCATAATTATGATAAATGTCCCCCCTCTTCATTAATGCTTCTCCATACCACAACATGCAGAAGTCTTGGCATAAAGCACAGATTTGGTCTACTCTAATGTCATTTTTGAAGAAATGTGTCTCTGTAAAAATCATAACATTAAAAATATTTTTGTTAATTTCTTCCTTTAAATAGCAATTCCATTTTTATATTTTTTTATGAACCTCTAAGCAGTGTCAAACACCTTACAGGTGTTTGATTAGTAACCATGGACATTAACCTCATTTTGCATTATTATTATGGACTGTGCAAATTATCTGACGCTGTAGGTCAGAACTATGGCATAAAGAAATCATCACCTCTAGAACACAGACAGAACAGATATGTTTCAGTCTCCATTTAATCTGTGGCTATCTGCTGATATACTATAACATCCGAATGTAGGGGTCAGCAATGTTTTGGGGCAAAGTAACAAAAACACCTGCAACCTCAACTTGTAAGATGTTGGCGTGCCAGGGTTGGATTGTGGGGGAGCTGCAAGAGGCCCGATGCTTGTAGTGGCAGGGCAGCCATGGGTCCTCCCCCACTGTCTGACCCGAGAAGTCTAAGCCATGCAAAATGCCTTCACATACATGTTCTGGCACCTGTGGGGGTTGCCTACCCCTGTTTTAAAGTCAAAGGCATACAAAATTGCTTTTATGACCTCAACACCTAGCCATTAGATAGTTGACTGAAGCAGCCAGATCATTTCATTAAATGAATTACAGTTCCTTAAATTACTATGAAATGAAAACGCCTCTGCAGCTCTGCTGACCATGGCCAAATTACAGCTAGAGACCCAGTAGCAAATGGTTCCTCTGAATCAGCTCCGTGTAGGATAGTAAGAAATTCTTATATATGCTTGTAATCAGTTTTCAATGGGAACATCCATTTCATCCTTAGTCTGTCTTTTATGAATGCATGAATATGATACATATGTAAGATTTTTTTTATTTCTTTCCCTTTTCTGGTGTAGCTGGGTAAGAATTCACAGTAATTAAGTCAATAAATAAACATGAGTTCCATGAGCGACTGGTGCCTCCTGAATCTGGGGGGGCAACCACCAATGGCGGCGGCCGTCAAGGGGGGGCACCAGCCCTGCTGACAGCATCAGTATCAGCCATTGGGGAGGCACCGGCCCTGTCATGCTGCCCCGTGCACCCCATACTAGTCACCTATGATGAGTTCTGTGCTCAGTTAGTTCAGCCATCTTGTTGCCTTCAGACAAAGATTTTAAAACACTGCTTTTTGTTATAAACATCCTCTTTATGGCAAATGACACCTGCCCTGCTCTACTGAAAAGTAACAGCAGGAGTAAGAGAACTGTTCAAATCATAAATGTCAGACCATAGCCCAAAACACCTTGCCTTCATAATCATGATAATATTTTTGCTTTTATTTTTGCTTAGGGACTGGAAGAATGTAGACATTTACCATAGTACATTTGAACATTACTAGTAAAGTTATGTTACAGCAGCTGTGTCAATTTTATTGAGGGTATCCTCATCAATCTTATTCTCTGACTGTAAAGTAGTAATATTCTGCAGCTGGCATGCAAGTTATAATTTTTAATGTTAGAAAACAGAGGAAAATTGGTCCAGCAGGGTGCATTAATACTGATTAAGTCTTGTATGGGGAGCTGGAGGCCCAACTCTATCATGTCATCTTTCATTCCCAAAGCTAGTGAATTGAAAAACTGAACTTAATACCATGCTTTACAAAAACACTCATGGTAACTTTACCTGTATGTAAAGTGAAGCATCTGGATAAATATTTCTACAGTCAAAGTCACAGACCTTGTGTGCTTGTTAATAGATAGATAATGTCTCAATATTACTAATATGTAATATTGTATGCCTGGGTATAATTTTTTTAATATAAGGTTTCATTTAACTGTTTCTCTGCTTATCACTGGTTCCTCCCCATATACAAGTTTTCTGGGCTAATTCTCTGAGGAGGAGTCTCTCTCTCACTTAAAAACCACAATCACCACAATAACATGAGTGGCCGGGCCATGAGTGGCTACAGGACTCTGGGAGCAGGGCTTAGGGGGTTGTGGGTGCAGTTGGTCTTTTCCTCGATCCTCCCTGTTACAGGTCATGGGCTGAGGAGACAAAGACGGATTGAGGTAGTCAACTGAAGAGTGTGGCGCTGGTGTCATCATGAAGGCTTTGGCTTCCATGATCCAGTCCTCTCTTTGGTGAGACAGGCAGTGGTCTGATGGGAAGAGACAGCCTCCACCTCACTTCACTGGGGAGGAAGCTCTTCTCAGCCAGAATGTCTGACCTGCTCAACCAGGCTTTAAACTAAGCCCACTGGGGGATGGGTGGACTACCGCCAAAGCAAGTCCACAGGCAGCTACTGCAAAACCAGCAGGTTATGGCACTCAAGGAAATTCACTCCTACCCCAGCCCTGGAACAGTGTCCTCCTAGGAGTGCAAAGAAGCCTAGGGCTTACAATGGGACATTTATGTGTTTGTATATCAATGCCAGGAGCTTGAGGAACAAACAGGAGGAACTGGTCCTCCTGCTAAACAAGAATGACTACGATCTCATAGGGATAACGGAGACCTGGTGGGACTCCACCTATGACTGGGCCATAGATATAGATGGCTATGCCCTGTACAGGTGAGATTGTGCAGGGGGAAAAAGCGGGGGGGGCAGTTCTCTACGTCAAGGAAAGCTACACATCCCTGCAAGCTGACATTGGTACCCACGGAGGATGACTGGAGATCCTCTGTGTTAAAATACGTGAGGAACATGGCACAGGGAACACAATGGTAGGAGTCTACTACAGACCTCCTAATCAGGAACAAGAACTTAACCAGGAATTCACCAGGGAACTGGCTGAGGCCGCACGCTCTTGGTGCATGGTTGGCGTGGGAGAGTTCAATGACCCAGACATCTCATGGGAAGAGCACTTGGCCAAATCCGAATGGTCACAAAGCTTCCTCACATGCGTGGATGAGCTCTACCTGACTCAAGAAGTCTATGGACCAACAAAAGGTAAAGCGCAGTTGGACCTGGTACTGACCAAATGAGATGATCTAATCGGTGGCCTAAGAATTGAAGGAAAGCTGGGATACAGTGACCACGAGCTGATCACTTTTACTATCCATCGCAAAGCTAGCAAGTCAGTCAGCAATGCAGAAGTCCTTGACTTTAGGAAAGCTGACTTTGAAGCTAAACAGGCTTGTTGTTGAGGCCCTAAGGGACCATGATTTGACAGGGAGGGAAGTCCAAGATGAGTGGTTGCTCCTTAAAGCAGAGATCCTGAAAGCACAAGGGATGTGCATCCCATCTCGGAGGTAAGGTAGCAAAAGGGCACGGCAACCCCCTGGGCTCAGCAGGAGACTTATGGATCTCCTATGTCTAAAAAGGGAGGCTTATAAAGGATGGAAGACAGGAATCACCACGAAGGAGGAGTAGTCCGCACTGGTCTGTACCTGTAAGGAGTGAACCAGGAAAGCCAAGGCTGCAACCAAACTCCAACTGGCTACACATATCAAGGACAATAAAAAATCCTTTTTCAGATATGTGAGGAGTCAGAAGAAAATCAAGGTAACATTGGACCCCTGCTAAACCAAATGGGACAACTGGCACCCAGGAAAAAGCCAACCTGCGTCCTAGGTACTTTGCATGGTTTTTCCATCAGCCCAAAGGGACCACCCTGCCTAACATGATGCGAGATGGCCAGGGTGAGAGTGGATTTATACCCAGCATTGGTGTAGATCTTGTAAAGGAATACCTTGAGAGGCTGGCCACCTTCAATCAGCAGGTCCTGACAGCTTGCACCCCAGAGTACTTAAGGAGTTGTTAGGCATCATAGCCCAGCCACTGGCAAGGATATTCAAGAACTCGTGGCGCTCAGGTGAAGTACCTGAAGATTGGAAGAAGGCCAATGTGGTGCCTATCTTCAAGAAAGAAGGGAAGTAGATCTGGGGAACTACAGGCCAATCAGCTTGACCTCAATCCTTGGAAAGCTTTTGGAAAAAATTGTTAAAGGGACCATTCTAGACAAGCTGGTTGATGGCAACATCATGAGGGACAGCCAGCATGGGTTTGTTGCGGTTAGGTCTTGCCTGACCAATCTCATCTTCTATGACCAGGTGACATATCGCATGGACAAGGGAGAAAAGATTGATGTTATATATCTGGACTTTAAAAAAGCCTTTGATCTGGTGTACCATGATCTCCACATGGAAAAATAGGCCAACTGCGGGCTCAGCTACATCACAATGTATCAATGTATGGCTGGGGAATTGGCTCTGAGGTCGGACCCAGAGAGTAGTAGTCGACGGAAGTGAATCATCACGGAGCTCCATGATCAGTGGGGTCCTGCATGGCTCTGTCCTTGGACGTGTGCTCTTTAACATACTTATTAATGATGTGGATGCTGGTGTCAGAGGCGAACTGCACCCGGTCTGTTGTCGATGACAACGAACTTTGACGTAGAGCATCCACACCCAAGGATCGGCTGGTAATCCAGGCTGATTGTCCCAGGGGGACAGTTGCTGGGGAACGAAAGACTCCTCCCACAGCAGGATTTGGGATGGGGGCAGCCCGTCCCTGCAGGAAAAGCCCTGAAGTCAGGGCACACTTACCTGTTCCAGGCTGGGGAGAGATGAACAAGCTGTGCCATCATGAAGCACCAGTGTGGTTCATGAGCTGCGTCTATTTCTGGTTGATGCCGGCATGGGCAGGTGACATCATCCCCGGATGCCACCCAGACGGAATAAAAGATGGCATTGTGGAAACCATGTGGGAAGCACCATGGGGAGCAGATGGTGAGGGTGCTTCCCACACCGGGCACAAGCAGTGCCGGCGGACACTGAGGAACTCAGAGTTGGACCCACAAGAGGGGTCCACAACAGAAGAGAGGAGCCAGGAGACTGTTGGGGCCACTGGCATCGAACCAGTGAGTGGGGATGTGCCACAGCCCTACCTCTCATTCTTCTGTTAAATTCTTCTTCCCCCCACATTTTTTTCTTACTGCCGGGGACTGTCCTGAGAGACTCCAAGGCAAGGGGTGCATGGCAGAAGAGCGGGGACAGCACACTTACAGACTCGGCATTGCTATGCTCACTAGTACCAAACCGAAAGGGACTTGGGGGTCATGATTAACCACAAGATGAATATGAGCCACCAGTGTGATGTTGCAGCTGGTAAAGCAAACAAAACTGTGGCTTGCATCAATAGATGCTTCTCAAGCAAATCTCAGGATGTCATCCTCCCACTGTACTTGGCCTTGATGAGGCCACAGCTGGAGTACGGCACCCAGTTCTGGGCTCCACAATTCAAGAAGGATGTGGAGAAGCTTGAGAGAGTCTAGAGGAGAGCCACACCCATGATCAGAGGGCAACAGAACAGGCCTTATGAAGAGAGGCTGCGAGCCATGGGACTCCTCAGCCTGGAGAAGTGCAGGCTTAGGGGTGACCTGGTGGTAGCCTGTAAGTATATGTGGGGTGTACATCAGGATCTGGAGGAACGCCTGTTCACCAAAGCACCCCATGGGATGACAAGGTCCAATGGTCACAAACTCCTCCAAGACCATTTTAGGCTGGACGTAAGGAAATCTTCTTTACTGTCCGAGCCACCAAGGCCTGGAATAGACTGCTGCCAGAGGTGGTGCAAGCACCTACTCTAGACTCTTTTAAGAAATGTTTGGACACTTATCTTGCTGGGATCCTTTGACTCTAGCTGACTTCCTGCCTCTGAGGCAGAGGGCTGGATTCGATCTTCTGAGGTCCCTTCCAGCCTTAATATCTATGAAATCTATGAAAACAAAAAAAAAAATTGACTTGTCAAAGAGGCACAAAGTAGAAATGGCTATGCCAGACACAAGGCTTCAAAGTGCTTGACACTTCTAAAATTGTTTACAATCAGATTTAAACGATGCAGATAACTATGTTGCTGAAAACAAGTAATTGCAAGGAAGGTCACATTTTCATGAGTAGTAGTAATGCTTATTGTATTGTTTTAGTGAAAACTGTAAATAATCTACTATTGGTGGTAATTAGTTAAAAGACAGAAGGTAATACAGTAGATAGATACTGAATTTTACACTACTTCATCTTCAGTAATGCACTGAAGAAGGTATTTACTGAGCTTTAAGGGCAATGCTAATGTTATACATGTTGCTTTCCAGAGATATATTGACAAAGGAAATCGAACCTATACATGGACTCCTGTGAATAGCACTGATTACAGGTAATCAGATGTTTGCATAGTTACTTTTGTTATTGAATTACATATGATTATTTTGATCAATTCTATTTTTATCTAACCAAACACATAGAAGGCTAGAAACCAGATTTCCCTGAATTGGTGTAGACATGGTGTATGTGAATATCATGCATCTTTCTTTAGATGATGACTAGAGGGGATTTATACTGGGCTATGATACCCCTTCCTTCCTCCCTCCCCCAGTTTTTCTTTCCGTCTCAATAAGAAGCCACCATTGCCAGCCACACGTGCTTTCCCAAAGAAAAACATGCAGGATCAGGCTGTTTTTAAGTATATTTTTATTTACTAATTAAAAAGGGAACATTAGAAGTCTTTCCAAACAGGTTACATTGGAAATTAACTTTGGGTAATTCTTCTTCTTACTCTCACATTCATCATTTCTTGCATCATTTTGTATCTAACCTAGATTTGTAAGATCTTTAGGGCAAGAACTATCATGTTAGCTCCCTGAAATGTGCTCTTACAATGTTGTATAAAAACATGAAATATCAATGAAATTGTTATGTGTATATAAAATCATAGGAGACAGCAGCACAAAATGATATACATCATGGAAAACTCTAACACAGTTGCTGCAGTGTGCATGATTTCAGCCTCCGTAACATCCTTGTGATATTGGAAAAGATGTAACATCTTGGCAGCCCTTTCCCCATATAATCTGATTTTGTTCTATCCAAGAAAATGCAACATATTTCATTTGAAAACTGTGTAGCTTTTTTAATATTACCAGCATTAAGCCCAGCTTCCATGAGTTCCTGAGAATCCAAACTAGGGTAGTTTGGACCGTGTACATGTTTCAAAGCATAGCCTCCCGTAATGTTTTATTTCAGGTGGATAAAAAGTGCAAATGAAAGAAGAAAGGATGTTTTAACATCATATATAGGTGTGTGTATGCATGTACATATGCATATATACGTTATATAATATTGGATTATAATATAATACAGGTTTTTTGACTGTCTATACTTAGCCTAGTAGGTGCTACTGGCCTCAGTCAAGTTGAATTTCGTTTGCATGGAAAATAGATTTAATAATATTCCTACTGTCCAAATCTACCCTCTCACAGACATAAGTAAGTAAAACTAGTGGTAGCAAATGAATGCTAGGAGCTACCTAGTTATGTTAAATTCCGAATGTCATTCTTCTATTGAGTTGCACCAATTTTTAATTTGGTTGGAAAAAATAGTACTATATGATGGAAAATACCATCTAACAATTGGTACAAAAAGACATTTGATTAACTAACTCCTTAGGCTGAGAGACAGCAGTTAATCTCCTGGGGTCACATTGCAGTAAGCCCATTAAACCTATAAAATTATAGGTTTTAATTAGTAGTTTCTCTTTGCAATAACTGTTAATGACAGGTAAACCTCTCCTAATTTCCCTGGAGGGGAATTGGTGGAAGGCTGTCTCTAAATAATCAGCGATCTTATTTACATGCTGTTTAAATGGCAAATGCATCATTAAAGGTCATCATGCTTGGGCCCAAAGGTACAACTTGTTTTAATGATAATTTCTGCAGCCATCATAAGAAGCCACCAGTAAAATGTATTTTTATGTTAATGAAAATGGAATGCAACCCTTAAGACTGTGGCATGGGGAAGATCTCTCTCTGCTGGGGATCTGTACTTCGTTTGAAACTATATTCACATACACATCATGATTTTTTTAGAGGTAAAAATAAAAAGGCAGAAAGATTTGTAAAGAAAAATTGACAGGAAGTCAAATGGCTATATATTGGAAACGTATATGTTAAAACAATATATATATATATATATATATATATATATATATATACTATAGATGGTATTCTCTCTTTTGGAGATACCCTAGTTTAAGTACTATAGAGTTTGACATTTATGTAGTGAATACCAGTAGCTGTCTTGTTATTGAAAGGGGAATCCGTCATCCTATGCTGTTATCATAGCAGTTTAATGTTGTCTGTGGTTCTTCTGCTGTTCTCTAAGTCTGACTTGCTGTAAAGACACCCATAAAAAGTGAGTTTTCTATGAATTTCAAAATGGGTGCTGAACTCCCCTCCCCCACACCTCCCCATTGTTCTTATTGGATTTACTTTATTCCCAAACCCTGTGGGTGCCTACCAGTACATGTGGTAGATGTGGGATTGCACGTAGTAATGTAACCATCTCCTTTCATGATAATTGTCACCCCTAATGTGTTCATTTTCAAAGACACATTAAAGCTGATTTGAGGAAACCACAACAAATCTTACAGAGATTCCCCACTGAGCTAAATGTGTCTTTGTTTCTTTCTTTATGCTTGTCTTATTTCTGTTACAGTTTGGCCTTGGTATTACCATCGTACAGCTTTTACTATATTAAAGCCAAAATAGAAGAATCAATAACTCAGGCCAGATGTAAGTACTGTGGAGGTTCTTTGGCTTCTGACTGCTATGATTGAGACTCAGGCTTTTTTAACAACATAACATTTGAAATTCATAAAATATGTTATCATGATGTACCCAAAAATCTGCAGCAATGATTCTAACCCATTGTAAACATCGAAGGTACAAGAAATATTCTACGCAGCTAGAATATGTGCAGGTACCCCAGTTTCACTAACACCCTTTACCCCTTGCTATGTACCTATTGAATCATTGCTTTGTGTATCCTCTGTTGCTGTCATTTTAAGGGTCTGCTAGCTGACATTTAAATAGTCAACCTCCAAAATATTAACTTATAGGCTATGGTAGCAAGCTGCTTTTCATATTATGCAGTTATTGCAGTGCTGTTTATAGTAACCTGTGCATATAGCTAGAATAATGATTAAAATGGTTTAGTTTTTGTTTGGAGATGTGTTTATATTGAACTTTCTAGCTGCTTTCAATAAATGTTCAGACCGGTGTGGATTACACTAATTTCAAGCCCTTTCAAGACGCAGGTGAAATAATTATAAATAGTATCTCTGAAGTATTTCTAGCTATAAAGTATTTTTTTAATTATTATTTTCTTTGTTTAGTTTGACTGTAGTTAGTGAACAAAGTATAACCTATATTCAAGAATTAATCCAAACTGAAACAGTTTCATCTATATTTAGAAATATACATAGTTAAAAACTTAACTGAGGAAAACATTAGGATATAAACTTTTCCACACTTTTTGCAAGTCTACTTTTCGGTCAAAGCATCTATTAGCTCAAATTAAACATCCTTATCAGTGAAAAAGAAAGTTTTCAATGATCACATGATGGGTAGGAGATATAATACGCTTTTAACAACCAGTAATTTGGGCTGATTAATTTTATAACTTTATCAGATAGGGACTAGTCATTAAAATTTTAATGGAAGAAAAAAATATTCTGTTTGTGCACAGTAGATCTGTTTGTGTTGTACCTTCAACAGTGCACCCTAAAACAGACCCTTGAAATAGCCACAGTATATAGAAGGTACTATAGAAATAATTGATAAGGACATACACTCCAGTCTTCAAAGATGTTTGTCTTTTTTCCAGACTACAACTGTACATATATTGAACCTTTGATCTATCTTTGCACAATATTTTTATTCAAGGGGCTGGTTGAATAAAATATTGGTTTGTGACCCCTTTTGCTTTACCCTGTTTTTTTCTGTTTCCCTGCTTTCTCTTTCTGATGGATTTTCACAGTCAAAAAGGGCAAGTATATTCTTGTTGCTCAATTTCCTTCTGTTTACTGCAGTTGGTATTTCCCATTTATGTTTCCATTCCTACTGGACATTCTCCTTTGTATTCCTCATCTCTGGATTTCTCCCATGATCATTGGGTACCATAGCAATAGAGAGGAAAAAAAAAATCTATAAAATGCTGTTGTGTTTTCATGCACATTTTAATTTGTTGCCAATCTCTAATCCTTGTTTGTCTGACCCTGTCACCTTTTGATTCATGATGAACTTTTTATATAAAATAATGCTTTTAAATTATATTGAATGTATTAGAAATACATGTTTTTTCTTTGATAGTCTAAAATGCTCCATGTTCCAAAAATGTCTAGTTATCACAGTATAATGCTAATGAAAATGTCCCATATATTTTCACATTGTCGTGCTAATGAAACAGCTCAGACTTAACTTACTTCAGTTATCTTATTATTGCTGGGTGCGTTGTTATATAGTAATTAGGTAATTTCTTTGTGCAAGGTGAAATTCTGGTGGCTAGCAGAGTAGGTTAGTCAGAAACGGTTCTTTAGAAAACTGTTCTGTAGAGGTCCCCATTTTTAAAATTCCTAGATGCATGAAGAAGTTATTGTGTAATTTTACAAATAAAAAATAAAAGGCAAGCCTGGGGACATAGTAGGACAAAGCCCAATTTATTTATCTGACATTCATCTTCATCTTTGTAGATTTAGAAACTCTGAAGCTCGATCACTTTGATAAAGCCGGCTATACCTTTATTGCACCAAGGTTGGTCAATTTCCCAGTTCTAAGTATTATACACAGCAGTAAATAAGAAGTCTTGATCAGGTTAGTGACACTTATGAAACATAGCCTGCAAAATTAATTTTGCACAAGAAATGTGCTTGGAAAAATGTTTAGTAAAAAGCACAATGACTAAACATGTTTTGCAAGGTCAGATATCTTTTTCTTAGTAGAATATGAAAACATCTTTGCAGTCTACTTTGTTTTGTAATTTATAATATGGAGCTGTACTCTGTTTTCAGTGTTGCAATATTTGGAGAAATGAATAAAATAACACAGAAACTTTATCCAAGACTTATATTCATTATTCATTAATGTATTAATTGGGGGTAGGCGGTGAGCCAGAGTATGCAGTTTGCAGATGGGACTGAGGAAACTTGGGTTTTAATCCAAGTCAATCTCAATTAATTTTTGGCAAATGACTTTACTATTCTATGCCTTAGTTTCCTCTTTTGGAAATGGTTTTTGTAGTATTTCTGTATTGTGTAAAACCTTTGAAATATAAGGATGAAGAATGATTTTTTATGTGAGGGATTTTTTGGGGGTGCAATTCCGTTACATCATTGGAGTTTCAGTACATTACTTTTTGTAATTGGATTACTTCCCTGGGTTTTCTTATGGGCATATGCACTCCTGGGCCTTGGCATTTTTGCAACTAAAACACAAAGACATAAATACTACTATATAAAGACTGAGTCTAGTGTGAGTATTTAAAATAATACTGATGGTAGATAAATAATGAAGAAACCCTATACACATGGTCAGTCTAGAATGATTCAAACTAGTTTATTTGATAAGTATTTGCATCCTCAAGTTATATTCTGATTAAAATGATTCAGAAATAAGAATTTTGTTTGACTTTTTTTTAAAATAACTGAACTGAGATGAAATAAATAAAAATCAAACAAAAATCGTACGTCTGAATCATTGTAATTGGAATATAACTAGTGAGATACAAATGTTTATTAAATTATATTATTGCATACTGTATTGTAGCCTAATTAAAACAAATTAGAGGTCAGGTTTTTTTTTCTGCTTGCTTATTTACTTTCACCCCAAGCTCAGAAACCCTTGTAGTTATAAGGGCATTTCATCTTCCTGAAGAGCTTAATGTACTGAAAATTGGTTGAATTATTGAACTGATAATTTGTATCAGTCCGTGATCCTGCACATAATCTGTGGGTCAGAATTTGTATGGGTCTTTCTGCAGAGTGGACTTCAGTGTTGGGCTCTAAATTCTGATTAGGTCCTTTCTGGACCATAGCATAGTGATTTTTGAGTGTATCACATGAGATATGTGGTCATACAAGATTTGTATAAATCAGGGCTCTCTGGCTTCAGTGTGGCCAGGGGCCATATGTGGTGGTGGTGTGCATTGTCCTAGGCTGCACACTGCATGGGTGAGCCCACTGTAATCTTTCCCCATCCTCATGGATAGTGCTGGCTGTGTACAGCTCCCCCTACCACATGGACTAGAGGGAGCAGCATGTGTCCTCCTTTGCCCTCCCCTCCCTGTACATAGGCAATGCCAGTGCCAAGAGTGAACAGATGCCCCCCACACCCTGCCTCACTGCATGGCAGTATGAGAGGCAGCTGCAGGGGTACATGAGCTGCCAACTGGGCAGCTCTGGCATAAATGAAAACAGTTTACCTATGCATATTTTGAGAGTGTGTGTGTGTATATGTGATTCATGCACTATTAAAACTGCCTCAAGAAACATCTTTTCTTAGGAAACCATTGTCTGAAGATACCATGCCATAAGGCTTCCAGTATCCTTTTACATATTTTTTTTTCCTTTGGCAAAAGATCAACTTTACTATTTTTTGATCCTTTGGTTTTATTTTGATCATTTAAGGCAATGCCTTCTTCCT